CCCATCCCTAACCCTTGTCCCCGTCCCCATCCCTAACCCTTGTCCTCGTCCCCATCGCTGACCCTTGTCCTCGTCCCCATCCCTGACCCTTTTCCCCGTCCCCATTCCTAATCCTTGTCTCCGTCCCCATTCCTAATTCTTGTCCCCATCCCCATCCCTAACCCTTGTCCCCGTCCCCATCACTGACCCTTGTCCCTGTCCCCATTCCTGACCCTTGTCCCCATCCCCATTCCTAATTCTTGTCTCCATCCCCATCCCTAACCCTTGTCCCTGTCCCCATCCCTGATCCCATCCCCGTCCCCATCCCTGATCCCATCCCCGTCCGTCCCCCCGGCAGAGGGTCTTGGGCGCTGCTCGCTCCCCAGGTAATGACGGCCACATCACAGCGAAACCGAAATTAACCGCCTTTTAATAGCTGTGCTCCGGCACACCCCGCCAAAGAAGAGTGGAAAGTTTCATGGTGACACGAGGTTGTCTAGATCTAAGGAAATTTTCCCCCTTATATAAACTTCAGTGGCATTTCCTTATCCTCCCAATTATTTTGCGTGTTGCATCTCTGCTAATTACGGTATCCCACTGTGCAGCCCTAGCAGTCCAGTACATTGGACTGAAGATTGGCACAGTCCTGCTAATTACTCCTGGATGCAGGCTCCAATCCTGCAAAATCATATACCTACCCAGCGGTGCGTGGTGTTTAACATTCACTACCTGAAGAGATTTACATCAAAGAGACATTTTTCAGTGTAACTGCCTCCTAATTGGCACAAAACACAGGCATGGTAACAAACAGGCTTTTGCTCCCCGGCAGGTCAGTGCCTCCATGTGATGGAGGAGCTCTTGCCGTGTGTCTGCACGCTGCTGCTGAGACTGCTCCCTCCTTCCTGGGATTATGCCTGTGGCTCCTGGCTGCATGTGCAGCCAAAGTTTTCTCCTGAAAATCAAACTAACAGAATCCCATGGTTTCTCTCATGCCATCTGTTAGCTGCTGCTTTTCAAGAAAACAGCATCACTTCCAAATCCGTAATGGATCACCATGGACAGCGGGAGAGGAGAGGAGAGGAGAGGAGAGGAGAGGAGAGGAGAGGAGAGGAG